GTCATATAGTCGGTAAACTCTCCCATTCTCTTCATTCCTGGACATTTTGCTACAAAAATCTCAAGGGTTATCCTCACCGACGTTCTAGTTTATTGCACATAATTCTTTCTACCATCTCAAAATCGTTATTGCAATGCCTCTCTGTCCCATATGTGCCGAGAGCAGTACTTTCCCGATTTTCGACTTCCATCCAGGTGTTTTTGTATGCGCACACAAAGTGCTCTAATTGTTTGCTCTTTGGATTCATTGTCACAAGTCCTACAAGAGATCAGATATAAAGGATAAGCGATAATGTTCTGTGATTAAGTACATCGCACCTGAATTCATGAAGTCTCTATCCCCAGCATAAAGATATGACACGTGATCCTGTTTTACATAAAAGGTCATATAAGCGGTTCCAAACCAACCACCAACGTGATGTGTTGGGAGGAATTCCGATGAATCCCACAAAAAACCCTCGGGACTTTGTGGATAATTTTCAAAAATTTTGAGAATGAGTAGAAGGGAGAGTGTCTGAATATCACAAATGATGAGCACCTTACTTCAGGCTTATTTTCTAGTTTGGGTAAGAGTTTTTGATGGTAGTATGTGATAACACATCGGCAACTTATCTCCCTCCCCGTATAAGACGTTATAAGATCGGGTTTCTTTCTGATAGGTAAACGCTTGAGCTGATTTTTGGGATATTTCTAACAAGATTTAGGTGATATCAAGAGAAAAATCAGATAAGATATGGTTTAGTAGGTCTAGGAGTATGCCTAGGCTCCAAAGAAGATAAAATTGCCGAACCGTCAGCCAAAGCTTCTAGAGAAGATATGCCAACCTCCCAGAACCTTCAAAAAAAAAAAAAAAAAACAGTGTTTGGACTGTTTCGATACGATCACGCAAAGTGCATAATTTTGTTACTACGTAAGTATGAGATAAAGAACTGCATGCACGAATCAATCTCTATTTAAAGAATAAAGTGAAATAAACATCGATAAACACAACCTTTGGATGGTGGATGAGAGGTTGAGACGGTACGACTCTATAACAGTTCTTGAAGACACACTACACTGAAGAGCATTTACGAGCCGCACTGGAGAAGTCTCTTTGATGATTTATCACTTTTTTTTTTGGCAAACAGCTGTCCCAAAATATCAGACTCTAGTGTTCAATACAGCAGAGACGTCATCACTGCATCATAATCATCAACCACAGTATCCGTGATGGGTGGTCTCTTCAACACCCTTCGTTATGACAGTGATCTTCTCAAAAAAAAAAAAATTGTTTTTTGGGAGTTGCTGAGCATAATGAGTATTTTTTCATAACTCACGCCTAACGCACCTTTACCTGATAAATAAACGACTCAATAAGAAGTACGGTAAAAAAGATTTGTCATTAGATAAACTACCGAAAAGGGAACGAAGTGAAGGGAATACATGTCGTCCACTTTGCCCTCCACGCATGCATTGTATGTAGAGCACTTGAGCGTTGATAATTAATTTGGATAGAATTGTTACATTAAAACTCAGGAAAGCGTGAGCGTCGATACTGATATACTGATACAAGCACAAACAGGTGTGCTCCTCTGCGTGATCTTATGAAAGGAACCGCTATTATACTATATCTTTGCACAATGCAGAAAAATTATAGGTAATTTTTCCCTCAAATGCAATTGTTTTAAGATTCCATTCTCTAAGAAATCGGACTTTTTGGGACAATGAGAATTTGATTTTTCATATAAGCCAACAAAATTCATATGAGCAAAGGTAGGCACTGCCTAGTTTCGCTGTCATCCAACACTTTTCTGGAAGTCATTTCGTCATAACACTTACAGTTCAAGGTCGCCTTTCTTTGGCTGCCGTATTTATTTAACACACAAGTTCTTGGTGCATGCAATGTTGAATAGAACTAACTCAAGCCGGCCAATCTGGAGTGCCAGTGAATGAGTGAAAATCAAGTCATACCGGACTCTCAGTGTTACAGATCATGTTAGCCCAACGAATGAGGTGCAGAGTTTTGAAGAAACGCTAATATAGTGTCGCACATAAATCGTATGACTTACCTACTAGTATTTGGAGGAATTGGAAAAGAAGAATTCTACCCATGTCGGCCTATAATCATCATTCCTATTCAAATGTACCTACTTTCACTGCAAGACAGAGATATTTCCAAGTGATTATAACAAATTCTCATGATTGAAAAACGTAAATGAGTAGATATGCGATGTTCGAGCCACCATTATCCATCCTATTTACGACTTTGGGTGATTTGATTTTCAAGCAATGATGTTAGTGAGATATCATGTAATAAACAATGAAAAACGGTTATATCAGTCATGTGTAGTCCTAAGCCCTAAGGCCCTAAGAGGAGTTGAGGCAATGTGGATAAGCCCTTAGAAGAGTTGAGGCAAAGTTCGCACACTATTGACTGATGTATTGGGAATGAAGTCTTCATAGTCTGATCTATTCCAACAAATATGAAAACTCCATAAAGCTGTTCAGACTTAAAACATGTGCAACATCACCTCATGAAGAATCTGACCCTTCACTCAAGTATGTTCTACGGCACCTGATGAGTCGCATGCATTTTACGTTCATACACGATTGAACAGTCCGTTAAATGCGTAGCTGAACTAGTCCCTTTGTCTGTCCTTTCTGAGAGCTAGACAATGCAACGATAATTCCTAGAAACCTACTGAAGCGCATATTTTCGGATCTCACGAAGAATTTGGAAAGAAACGAAGATACATAGATATCGATGCTTCAGTTAAGTGTTTGATGTAATTTTTATCATCAAAGAAATCTCAGCCCAGAAAAAAATGGGGATTTTCAAAGTGTGGAGTTGTAGACTAGCTATTTAGTTGATTCTGCATAAATGGGACAAAATGTCGAAAGCCACTCGCCGGAAATTTGTAGAACTTATAGGCTGTACATCTACCATGTTGTATGTGCACCCGGAGTTCTTCAGTTCCAATCGCTGTCTGGTAATCGCTGCTCTCAGTGGATGGGTGAATTCATACATGGATCTGAACCCAGTATTAATGCTGATGATGTACTGCTCTTCGCTGACTGATATTTCGAAAAAAGACCAAGGAAGACCATCTGCAAATCCTCACTTTTGACAGTCGCTGGTCTTTGTTGATTTAGATGAGATATGGTGCTTCTCAACTCAGGTTTCACAACCACGAAAGCGATTAACGTCACCAAAACGGCTCGATCTATCCAGGGAACCAAACGATTTCTCATGGAGCGATTGGTTGATAAATCGATCGCTAACAATGCAATAAGTCTAGAACTTTTTTTCGCTTTATTGACACGTCTTCAGTGTTTTTTCCCCTGTGGGGACCCAGTATTTCTAGCACTCAATTTGTTGTTTCGTCTTCTTATTGAACGCCATAATGTACTAATTGAGCGGGACTCCCTGCAATCCCGAGGACAGCCTGGCTATGGCGTTCCATAGAGCGTTCTTGTTGACTGCTGAGGAGTGTTGGGTGTGAAGCTCGGCTCCACCCGCCGCGACGAGCATCACAACCACTCGGCCACGGCGCCGTGACTATAGAAGAATTTATACATATAGGAAGCACTTTTGGATCAATTTCTAATCCAAACAAGTTACCCAGAAAATAAAGCAAAAGCGGGCAAAACGCCAATACAGCAGCTATACATCGTGATGGGATGTGCAGACTACTACACACAAGATATGGTGATGAAGTGTAATCATTTTTTCATTATTATTTGAGCCAACTTGTCATGTGGTTTGGTAAGGGCTCTTGCACAGCCCGATACACGTGTTTCGTCCTTACAGACTCGTCAGTCGGGCAGAACCCGTCGTCTTTCGATATTTTGAAGTCAGTTCTCTCGGGAGCTCTGCTCCCTTACAGAGAGTTATCGAAGACGAACGTTTCAATAGGTTGAGGAGAAAGTTTCCGGAATTTGCTTATAAAAACTTTATTTATGCATCAATTAAGTTCGAACAAAAGACAATTTAATAGTGAGTGAGTCAATAATTAATAGTCAATAGCTGATAGTGAATAATTCAATAGTTCTTGAAGTGATCGTAAACAGCTGTCTTTCCAACAGTTCCTTCGCCCCATGCCTCACTGATTCGACGAACAGTGTCAGCGGCATTTGTGCCCACTTTGTACTCGTGAAGCATCAACAGTCGTTTCTGTTCGCGGTTCAGTTCCATCTTGCGGCACTATAGAAGAGTTATATATCAATCGATGCGCAAGAAAACGAGCTTTCAAATCATGTGAAAATCGCATATAAAACATGCGAACATGTAAAAGTTATGGGCAAATTCCGGGAACTTTCTCCTCAACCTATTACACTCTATGTCAAGAGGCTGTACAAGAGCCCTTACCAGACCACATGACAAGTTGCCTCAAATAATAATGAAAGGATTTATTGAAATTTGAGCGTGGTCTCAATAAAGCACTCGAAGAAAAGGTATAATCATTTTATTTATGGCTATATATCCGATAGTTTTAAGTGTATACATTCGACAGTGTTTATGCAAAATTCCGAAGTTCGATCAAGGAGTTGAACCAGCGTCCCATTCTATTCTAAGGAGCGTGCTAACCACTGCACTACCGAGGCGCTTGTTTTGCTCACTCCTTTTGCGATACAAAGTGATCTCTACATTTCTTGACGATGCCCTAATAAAACGATATCAAACATGTTAGATGTAATTTGCCAAAGGCTACTGTGCTCGTTCACAAAAAAGACGAATGATTTTCTTGCGGACTGCTATGAATCCATAGATAGGTGGTTGGCTCCTCAAGCAGCCTAAAGATCCTCCAAGAACGTTCAAATTTCTTTATGAGACCAGCGCAGAGGAATGCCGTCACTTTACTCATCACCTGACTTTGTCAATGAGATTTAGTAACCAATCTCAATACGACTTCAATGCTATTAATAAGCATGACGAATAGCCTATATTGTTTTGATAGCTTTCAAGTGATGGGATAATGTTAAATTATACATCTGCTAGGACTGAATGGTACACAAAAGCTCGACCTCAAGCGGGAGTTGAACCCACGTTTCACCCTTCCGGGGGGCGCGTGCTACCACTACACCACCAAGGCCATCGCTAAAAGATCACTCTCTTCGACATGGATCATCGCATCTGTCAGTAACCAACCCTTAACGGGTTCTGTGTGGTATGCACACATCGTCATTCAGCCCACCTGAGCTAATAGCTTTTTCTATATGTAAAACATATATTTCTTTGATTTAACTGCTTTCTAGTGGTGGTATGATGTTGAAATATACATCTGATAAGAAAATGAATGTTACGGCAAAAACTTGACATCAGAAGGGAGTTGAAACCGCGTTTCACTCTTATAGGAGACGCGTGCTACCGCTACAGCACCAAGGCCACCGCCTTACTACCACTCTTTCTTCAACAAGACTTATCGAAGCTGTTATAGACCAACTAATTACGCCAAATTAACCTCATGAGATGAAGATAATAGAGCCTCAATGTTCCGATAGCTTTTTAAATAAAAAAATGACAAATCATTGAAAAATGAACGATCTTTAGCAAAATGAAAAAAAAACTAAACAAAGGCTTTATCGGAAAAAAATTTCGATATCCCACATCAAGCAATCCAAAATCCGAAAACGACACTGGACGTGTTCAAAGAATAAGTAGGCAGCACTTTCTTGAAGTCTTTTGAGCAGTATCTGACACAAAGTTCGAAGCCTTTCATTTCCAATCAGCTAAGATAACATTCAATAAATCAAATATACAAACCAATGTAGTGAAGGAGATAGAAGGAGAACTATGGTAAGAAAAAAAAACCTGAATAAAGTATTGACTGTCTAAAGAACAACTGGAAAAACGTAGAAATTAACGTTATCAACGCTATAGAAACAAAAATGTACTTGTATAACGACAGGGTAGATATGTATGACCACAAAGCAAACACTTTAAAAAACAATAGCGGTCAGAAAGGTGATAAAGAAAAGTTATTTGAGCCCCTAAGCGTTGCAATTTCAACTTTTTTGGTCAGTGTCAAAACACTTGTGGAGTGACCAACAACTCCGTACGCAATCTTCTCCAACGATTTAACAACACGATAAAAATGGAGTTACTTAACTCCAAAGCCCAAGCTTGGCCTTTTGTTTTTGCTTCTTCTTGACGACATCCAAATTTCTTTCCTTCCAGTTGGATTTTCTTAATTTGATTGGACGATTTCCAACATACTTCCCATCCATTTCTCTCATGGCACGTACATAGTCCTATCGATAATCAAAGGATCAGCTATGCAGAACAAAGTTACACTATCATATAGTAACAGATCTACTGAGAATAATAAGTCAAGATAACACTAACATCTGACTCCGTAAATGAAACGAAACCGTATCCTTTACTCTTGTTGGATCGCGAGTCTCGAACAACCTGAACAACAAAATTACTGTCCTTTCGAAGGTCCTATCTGACTAGGCATCATGGTGTCCCAACTTCATACTCTCAAACTTTTGATCACATTCACAACAACAATCCACAATAGGAAGCTTCATCTTAGGTAAACGATTCCCGACTGACAAAAAATTGTGTACGAATACAGAGAGAAGAAAGTCACATTTCTAACACCCAATATCAAGATAATGCTAATAGCTGATTACAACTCCCTCCGAAAAGCCGAAGCTTTGAAATAATCATATCATTATTGTTCAGAGAATGTTTCGAGCTTTTCCAAGACTGGTACGTCAATGGCTTACGTACGTCTTAACGCTGTCGCTTTTCATCATAGTTACATCTCTCACAGACTCAGCTCTACTAACAGCAGCTATGGCTCAAAATGGATCAGTCAAGACAATGTGAAATATCACGTGATGTTGTGGTCTAAACAGATTTTCAGTCCATGGTTACGTAGCTGTCACGAGGCACGTAACAATACCCTTCAACCGGTCGTGTTTAAAACCTCGTTTGAATAAAGAAAAAACATAGTCTAAAGTCTGAACGTTGTCTGGACTGATTCATCTGTAACTACCGCTGCTATTAGTAGAAGCAGTAGGGCATGTAGCTCTATGAGGCGGCTGACCGCGAAATCGTAAAAAGCCATTGGCGTACTAACCTCGGAAAGGCTTACTAAATTCTCTCAAACTACAACGAATTTTTGAGCAATAAGTGAGGTTTTTAACGCAGTCGACTGGCAAGTATTGCTACATATCTTATTTCCCTCCATAAATGATTTAGTGTGTTCACTATAATTTACTAAGTCTTCCCAGTTGGTACGTTTCGCTACCGGAGAGCAGTTCAATCTAAGACCACGACAAGACAAAAAGTGAAATGCTCTAAACTCGACTCGACATCATTTCTGGCGTGAGATTTATCTTCTGACTATTCTATCTATTCTTACCAGTCACAGGAAATAAACAGAAACGTTCAAAACGGTGTATGAAATACCTTTGCTTTCTGGAAACTTGGATATTTTCGAAATGCCTTCGCCAAAAGTTCATCCGAGACCTACAATATTAGAAAGATAAGATTGAAACTGAGTATTTCATAAAATATACATGGCTACACGAACTTCATTTCCCAGATCTCCACAGAATATCCGAAAGTCGTTCTTATCCCATTCAGCAAGCGATGAATCTTCCCACACCTAAACAAAACAAAACCTCCTATACACTAAAGATTTTGACAAATTTTATAGACAGAAAAGGCAATAATAAGTTTGATACCAAGTATTTTAGTCGTTAAAGTTCTGAAAAATAGTAATAAATTGGAAACGAATGTGTAGTATAGAGCAGGATACAACTAGTAAACCTGTCCACCGCCCGCTCGCAGATACTTCTTCGGTTTAGACGGCTTTGAATCCTTGACTCTCGATGATGACGGCGCTGACGGATGCTCATTTTTCTTCTCCATAGCTTCAATATCCGAAGCCAATGCCTATCAAATCGCATAAGTACATATAATAATTTACATGTAGAAGATAAAAAATTGGCATTTGAAGGTCGATGTCAAGATAGGTAGAAAATGAATATATAAGTTGGACTTGGTAAACATACGAATGTAACTGGAGCCGTGGAACTTTGACCTGCTGTGACATTACTAGTAGATGGATCAGAATTGTATATTTTCGGTGCACTTTCAATGGTCGCTGAGTGTTTTGTGACTGACTGACGAAGCTGAAAGTTTTTTTGTGCCGTGAAAATTCCATATCAATTCAGAAACATATTAAAAACACAGTGGTAGTGGACGTTCTCTAACTGCATGTTAATCAAACAGAGCTTTCTTACATACAAAAAAAATTCTCTTCTGAAAAGAACATCGTTTGAAAGAAAGAGATTCAGAAAAAAAAGAGATTCTTATAGAAAGTTGGAAGCACCTTGCACATCACCATGTACAAATCCCACCTTTTCTAATGCTTAAAAATCATAAGAGATTTCCCTAAAGTTTTCCACTACTATATGAGTAACTCAACCAAAATCCCATATTCTTGCATTCTAGCTCGGGATAAACCAACGTTCAACCATTCCGTAGAGGATGGTATTGAGAATACGGTGGCAGTTGTAGACTACAAAAATAAAACAAATTGAGTTTCGTAGGATTCAAGACGTTCCGAATTATTTTATAAATCGAGATAAACAAACCAAAAAAAAACCTGGAGCAGAACCGTTTCTTGCGCTATACAAAAAACAATTTTGCAAACCATTACGACAACAAACAACGACATTCTATATCCTTATTGTTAAGATCGAACCAAGATTAATTATTGAAGTCAAAGATTAGACACACCTGATGTGGCAAGAAAATGTTCGGCATTGGCATAGGAAAGCCGGGTGGACTACGAAAAGCCTGAGTAGGGACAAAGATAGGAGGTGGAACAGGAGGAGGGATAACCCCGGCCACCGGTGGCAGAAAAGGAGCCATAACTGTTGGTGCTGAGAAAGTCTGTAGTATTGGCGCTGAAATATTGTATACAGTGGTTATAATGGTTTAAAAACAAAAATGAGACAATAAAATATTCTGTAAAAAGGTACAAAGAAAGAATTCGAACAGATAAACTATAGAGAGGCTGGCATTGCTCGATTCCTGAAAGATGTGCCATGCATTCGACATCATAAAGCAACGTTATTGTAATTGGATGCATATCTAGCTTTTAAGACGACTCGCAAAGGCCTACCAATATGTAAGGCAGTGCTGCTACCCTCCCAGACAAATCTGGTATAGATTCATCGACCTCGGAGGAATGGGAAGCTCGATGAACTTTATGCGCGGAATCAAACCACCGACCATCGACTGGTCGGCCACGTAGGTGTCGCAGAGCACCTCCGCTGCGCCACACAACTTTATTTTGAGAAAAAGAAGAATAATATTAACCTGTAGCTATGACTGGTACAGCAGACGAGACGGATACAGCAGGTGGAGCACTGATAACTGCACCATTTGAAGTTACTTCGGGACTACCATTCGTTTCTATAGTTTCTTCGGTCGCAATGGTTTTCTTCTTCTTCTTCGGTGATGGTCCAGAGTCAGAAACAAGAGACGATATCTCACTCTCGAAACTGAATGGAAGATTGTAATATGAAAGAAAATACAAGCCAACAGATGATTTATAACAGCTCTCACTCCTCCTAATCAACGTAATGGTGGTCGAAAACAAACCAAAGGATTCATAGTGTAGTTGATGAGTGTTTCTACCTAAGAGCATACTAACAAAAAAAGATTTATTCAAAGACAGAAAGTGACATCAATGTGTTAGACTGAAAGGATCAATTTTTGGAAATAGACCTAACCAGAGGAAAGCAAGCCTTGTAATTTACATTGCTAGTCAAACCTTTAGGGACCGAGTATACCACATTACCAATGTATCGAGGATCTTTTGATATTCTGATACTCTACGATTTCCTCTACACGCTCATGTTTTGAGTATATATTATATATATATATATATATATACATATATACATGTATATATATGTATATATATATATATGTATATTATTATATATATACATATATACATATATATGTATATATATATATATATATATATATATAAAGGATAAAAAGGATAAAGCTCTCGGCATTGATCAATCCCTGAGAGATGCGCCATGCATTCGACTT